TTGGGGGGGGGACCCAACAGCGGTAGCATTTGGGGGTTTCCGGTATTTTAGGAGGCCCAGCCCAGGCCCCCTAAACTTCGGGGGGGGATTCCTTTTGGGGGTGGACCCCCCCTTAAGTTCATCCCGGGGGGGGGGGGGGGTGCACTCATAGTCGTGCATGCCGTAGTCGTTAGACCATTGACCTCGCATCCCTACAAAGCCGGGACGGAGCACGCCGGGTTCTCACCGGACCAGGCTCTCACATCACCAAGAGCGAAGCGCCGTGAGGTATTCGGCGAGTCGCATGAAGGGTGCGCTGCATCCTGCTAAGGGTGTTCGGCATCTTGTGCCTACTTCCTTGTGTACGGATGACAGCTGCGTATGACTTAATGTATTTTCTGGTGTTTTCACTTCCAGAGACAGCTATAGGCACTGTAACTGCCTCGAGGATGCTTGACCATTTTAACACAACGCGGTGCGATCATCCCCCTTGCGCGGAGTGAGGGTTCTCGACCCCGCACAACATGATCTACTTGGCCACCATTATGGTTACCGCCAAAAAAAAAACAAAGGTAAAAAACAACCGGTAACCTGGTTGCCGAGTTCACGAAGTGAATTGGCTTGTTTTACAACGTCTTTGCCAAGCGACGAAAACCCAATCCCGATGGCAAAACACTGAGGGGGGCTTGTTTTACAACGTCGTTGCCAAGCGACGAAAACCCAACCCCGATGGCAAAACACTGGGGGGGCGGCTTGTTTTACTACGTCGTTGCCAAGCGACGAAAACCCAACAAAGAGGGGGGAGAAAAAAGAATCCAAGTGACTCCGGAGGCAACTCTCTCCCCGTAGCGCCAGAATCAAGTAAACTTTGCAACTTATGGGATACGCGTGGTGAGAACAGTCAGCCAGGGTACGAGGCGAACACATATCCCCCAGGGCACCTGTCCCGCCAGGGTTGCTATTGCCCTGGTGATGGTGTTTCGTTCAAAAAATATTTCTCAATGACACCCGGCCTGTTCGTCGACGGACAGTTTCAAAGCACCCTGCCGTTGCTGTTGGTACGATTACCGTTTCAGAAATAGCGGACAGCTGCACGCTTGCACCGAAGCACACGCTGACACACACCTGTCAAGATTAGACCTGCGTCGAAGGGCGCGTTGTTCTTTTCGCCCAGGGTGTCTTGAGAGTGAGACAACAACCCTGTTCACGATGCCGCGAGCAGAGACACCAAAGTCAAGCGCGCAGGATAGTAAACAAAGAGGCACATAGGGGCACCGGATTGAAACGTTGCATCAAGAAGAAGGTTTGCCCGTACCCAAGAACCGCGACATGCTGGTTCCCCGTCAAGAGCGACTGGGGCCGGAAACGAAGCCTCACCGAGAATAATGTCATTTCTGGTCGCATGCGTCACGAAGCACGTGGGCTTGGCGCTGATACCCCCGGCTCCGAGCTTCTTCAATAACTGTCGAAGGCTCGTTGTGACGAGTTCAAAGCGCGAGTACCTGGAAGATGGGCAAAGAAAGGGGGTGAGGCCATCTCCGGGCTTGGTCCGCCGGGCTCATGTGTGCCGGCGACGAGCTCGAGGAAGGGGGGCGGGGTTGAGTTCCGACATTGTTAGGCACGCTCGGTCAATGAGACAACAGGAATCATCGGCGCCTCGGCCAGTCTTAGCTGCTGGAATATGTATGCAGTGCTGTTCCGAACTACCATCCAGACCAACCTTCGGAGAAGATGTTCCCTTCCCGAGAGAGCCGTCGTGCCGAACATTTGCTCCAGGTCCAGTATCGACGGCTGATCTAACGACTCCGCCCACGGTACTACCCCAAGCACTGGCGCGTCTGGCAGACGGGAAAGGCGACTCGTCAGGGACATGACGCGACATACCACGGATGTGGTACACGGAGACAGATAATATCTGGTGTACATGGGCACGTAGCTTCCGCAACCTTGCATATCCCACAAAACCTGCGGCTAGCATGCCGACTTTACCTCGTGTCGGCGGATAGCGTATTCTGAGCCAGTAGGGTAACATAGGAGAGTTCTCCGAGCGTCGGTACGGAGGATGTGTATGCGGCCCCCGTGGGCAAACACAGGGCCTGCGCAGAAAATACGAACGACCGCGTGTGGACAATACGCGCGGCTTATGGCGTAGCGTGTATGCCTTCACCACACTGCGAACCTCCTTCTCCTGATCATCCCGCTGCCGTCAAGGTGCTACTGGACGCACGTCTCACCCCACGAGTTGGTACGCAGCGCCTTCCCGATGTACTCTCTGACCATGTCTTCCTTGCCGCGTTTTACCTGAAACGAACGGTTCGCCAAAGTACAAGATCAACCTCGATGGCTCACATGGTTCGCCAAATGACGCAGCGATCGACGACCAGTGCTACTAACACGAACAGAGAGCTTGCGCACACACGAAGCGGGCCTTGGCTGGCGATTCATTCATCGTGGGGCCTATGGATGCTCCCTCAAGATGACTTTCCGCTGTCCAGAGGTTTCGCCGCATTTTCCGTGTAGCGTCTGTTTTCCGGCGATATCCTTCAGCTATCGAGGGGTATCCCCGCCCCGTCTCGAGAGGCAAAACTTACGTTCTGGCCGCTCGAACCAACACAAACCTTGTTGAGGAGGACGGCGCGAACCCTAACGCCCCCAGCGGTGCACAGGGTCTTGTTCAGCGCCATGACGTCGTACGTGGAACCCAAGCCTCCGTTTCCGACGAGCAAGACGTCGAGCCCGAGCAAACCCGCAACATCCGCGTTGTTCATCCCCACAACGCTCCCGACGCCTGACACAGGGTCGCAGTTGGTGCCACGTTCGACTTACACACAAGCGTCTCGCGAGTTGTTGCTCTGCAGCAACAACGTCCACGATATTCAACCGCGTTGACGGACCGCGAACAAACAGGATTTTTGGAAAGGCGAGAAGAGAAGAAGCCCGGAGCGCGACAACAGCGATAGGGCTGCTTTCGAGACTCACCGGTGTGACCGGTACCCTCGACAACGACGAAGTCGTTGCTCCGGATGAGCTCCTCGAACCCGTCCTGGATGACTCTCTTTTGCTCCCGGACGTCCATCTGTGGTCGCACCTTAAGGACGTTAGCACGGAATCTGAAGGTTCCACCTTACGAAATGCATGCAAAGGGTCCTCTCAAACCCCAACTTTTTCAGAGCGCAATCTGTTGTACATGTAGCGTGGTTCCACGCCCGGAAGCAAGTTCCCATCCCTTACGAGCGGTACGTTCCCGTACCTTGCCGTCCAAGAAGTCTTTCGTGTAGCCCTTGTACAGGACGAGAGGCGACATGGCGTTGTACGGGGCCGAAAGGCCGAAGTACTCTTTCGCCACGGCCACGTCCTTGTCAACCTGCGTTCAACCATGTGTGGGAACTAATTGGTGCCGAAAAAGCGCCTGGCATTTCCTGCCATTGTGGGCTTGAGCAATCGTTGCGAACACAAGGGGTGACTGCTACCCCTCAGATTACGCTGAAGACGTTGAAAACGGTTGCAATCTTACCCAACCTTGCGAAACGTTCCCCTCAAACCCGTCCCTCCGTCCGCCATCTATCTTCGAGCAGCGAACGGCTCGCCGATAGAGGTCAGAAGGTACATTGGTTTCCCGTTCACCCTGTGCGGTATCACCCGTAAGGTCACCGCATATTTCTACGGGTCTGCAGTTCGAACGAACCACCGACCAAGTACAATTTGGTGGTTCTTCACCCATGCCGTAGTTCGACGGGGGTTCCGATCGAGTATCTTCTTGGTTGATTTAACTGCAGCAGCTGTAGGGTTCTGGCTCTCGCCTTAAGGTCTTCTCCGTCCTTCCCTGTCACTAGCACGTGCTTCTGGCCGACAGGCTTCATGTACGACACGCGTGTAGGCCCAAACCTGTTTTCGTGACGAGGCAGTGCAAGCGAGAACCGGCAACATGGACTACAACGCCGTGCCTCGGCACGCGAGAATAGCCCATCTTCATGCATATGTGACGATTGTCTCCCGGCGTCGCGTGTCCTGTGACAGGGGGGCCAACGAACCTGTATTTCGAATACGGCATGAAACCATTTGCGACTGCTGTGTGAAGCATTAACAGCAGCATCACGATTTTCCCCGATCATGATACCGATCCCAAGGCTCACCTACGCACTAGACCTGCAATGAGCGCCATGGACACAGAAGTCTTGCCCGTGTGCTCCTTGGTTGCGGCGACGAAGATTGCTTTGCCTCGTTCTGTCAAAAGCAAAAGACGCAGCCAGCGCCGCAAGCACGACGACCGAGGCGTGACTAAGGGATCGCGCAAGAAGAGCGTGAGGGAACCTCTGCCTTTCGTGCCTTTGAGGGCGTAAAGGCTGTCCGTCCAGCTACCTCCAAGCCAGTGCGGTTGTCGGGACTGCTGTGAACGCCGCCGGGCATCTTGAGCTCCGTGTGCCCCCTGAGCGACAGACTACAACGCACAGTAGAGCTCCGTGTATACAACACACAGCAGTACTGCTGCCGTTCAGCACTTTTCGGGCAGAATCATTGCATGATAAGCGAGTTTCTGTATCTTTGGTGATTTCGCGCCCCTAATGCTAGCTACAGTCCACCCCGTTGTGGCTAGGTTCGCTATGTCTCACCGGGCATCGATGAATCTGAAATCTTCATGTGCATATATACGAACACTCTGTATTGTACCCGACCTGGAGAGTCGTTGCGCCCTGTTCTTAGCGTTGGATCCTTTGGGTTCTGGAGCAGGGGTTGTGAAGCTTAACAGCAAAAATTGGTGAGGTATATTTGGCGGCCTGGCCTTTGTGACAGCACAACCCCGTTTACCTGTATACTGAACATCAACTTGCTGCTACATGTACACCTGCTGTGTGTGCATCGGCGGTTGAACACAAGACCCTGTGACTTCGGTTGGGTGGAAACAGCAAACATGAACTTCCAGATGACGCTCACGTGTCGACAGGCATCTTCGCTGAAAGCCCGCCATGGGTGCAACCATTGGAACGTGAAGCTCAAGCAGTGGTGGTCCGGGGGATGATAGCCCGGCTGCTGGATATAACCATTCCAGCCAGACACCTACCATGCCCGGGGCGCTCCGCAGTATGTGACAGGAGGAGTAGTACATTCGGCGGTGCCCCGAAGTCGTCCCGCAGTCCGCAGAGGCCTCCCACCGACATTCAACAGTCAATCAAGCCTTGCCAGTCGAAAGCCCCACGTTGCATTCTCTCTGCGCCGTCTCTCACAGCAACGCGTTCAAGATGCTGAGAGCCAACCGGGGTGGCGGCGGCATGCGCAATTCGGGACCGGCTTCCCCAATGGTTTGGGCCCTGGTAAGTCCACGTAGGCTACACACCTTTTGACATGCTGCTTCTACTGCTGCTGTACGTTGCTGATGTACGTCTCGACACCTTTCAGCAATCACCAATGGGTCCAGCGCAGACCAGGGGGGAGGCAAACACGCACACTGCCACTCGTGTGCCTTTCCCGAGCTAGAGATAGATCAAGCGCAAAGCTCTAGTTGGATCAGGAAGAAGTGAGCGCGCACTTCTCTGGAACCGCGCCCACCAACTGGCGACGTGTTTGCCTCTCGTTCCAACGCTCGCCCAGCGCCTGTGCTGCGCGCAGGCCCCCCAAACGAAGGTCGCTCGTATCTATACGTACGCATGGTTGCACTGCTGCTGCCTTAGTGCCTTACCCAGTATGATCGTCTGTACGCAGCAGCTAGCAATCGCAATGGGTCGTCGTGTAATGCTGTCCCCTCTTGCGGCAAAACTTGGCACAGAAGGCGAAGATCCGCGCACACGTCAACAGCCCAACAAAAAACGGTCAGCTGGGGACGGGGCCCGCTTGCCGTGGACGGCGGTGTGTGTATTGTTCAGAGATGTTCCGAGACAATATTGCATACATTCTCACACCAAGAGGCACTGCATGATTAGGTTAGCGGGCGACCGCTGCCAACTGCAGCACAGCACCGCTCGGGTTTCTGCAACAACAAAAAAATCCGCAGCAACAGCAGCGGCAGTGTGGCCCAACATCGGATCAGAATTATTGTTGCCGTGTAAACAAAAAGTGTGGAAAGTACACTACATAGTTCAAGGGGAGCGGCGCAATCATTTCCGACGGCGCTACGCAGAACCTTGTGCACACGAGGTACAGTAGCAGGCCTGCGAATTTTCCCTCCACGGAAGGCGTCCGCGTCAGCTGGACCGGTACGGGTGCTAGAAGGATACTGATTGGAGTGGAGATTTGTGCTGCTGTGCAACTCTCCCAAAAACACAAATAAACAAGAACACACCGCCGAACATTTCAAAAATTTTCCGACGGCGCCAAACAAGGCAGAGATACTACATACACCAATCCCTGGGTACTCCTTCAGGGAATGCATACCGTGCGTAGGTGGCACAAGATACCACGTCATGGTCCGATTTTCAAAGCTCGATTACTCCACGGCGCATGAACGAAGCAGCGATGAGAAGTTTTCGGGAAAAGCTCTCGCGATTCCAACGCCGCCATGTTTTTCGGCACCGCCACTCTTGCGGTGGAGAACCAAGCTTTGAAAATAGGTCCAGGGGTGTGGTATCTTATGTCATGTCACCTACGGTATTCGGGGTTCAGCAGAACTGCCATTCCACAGGTCACGGTTCGGTACACAGCAGCGACTTTGTTTTTTATTTTTTTCATCCCGAAATATTTGACAGCAGTGGTGCGGCGCGGTTTTTTCCGTCTCGAAATATGACGATGCTGTGCGGTTTACCAGGCGCACCAGGCTTGTCTCGGTACGGTTTTTCTCTCTCCTCCGAAACAGAAACCGCGCGAACCGTGGGCTTTGGTGGCGGTGGCGGTGCACCGTGGAAGAAACCCGCTTAAATATTTTGGGCGGGCCATATGGTGTGCAGATAAAGATTTCGTTTGAGGCACCTCAATACCGGGGATCATCACAGCACAGCAACAGCGTCTTACTCTCACAAGTAGCGCGTTCCTTGTTCTCTTTTGAACCCCCAAAGTTTGTTGCTTTCAGTTTCACCTTGTACTGACCGTCGAAAACCGATCTAAGGGCGCACTACCACATGACACAGCAGCTTCCACACGCCGGTGCCTTGCTGTGCCACACGCGTACCTGCAAAATCTTCGGTCCCCACGCGTTGAAACTCGTCAGCATTTTCGTACCAACGGCGGTGTTTATCATCAAGCAGCAAATGAAACGCGCCATGTGCTTTCTTCTCTGTCGTCGTCGTCGTCGTTGCCGTGGTTTACGTTTTCGTGTAACAAAGGTCGGGGGAAGCCTGGCGGTTTCGCTGGCGTTCAACGTCGTTAACGCCAAGGCCAGGAGAGGCGCAAGCGGCGCGGCGAGCGGGCCGAGGGCCATCAAGCGACCCCACCCCGTGCCGTTCGGGAAAGTGGGAGAGGAGAACCGCGGGAAGGTGTGTGTGTGTGTGTGTGTGTGTTTTGGGGGGGGCGCATACAGCTGCTGCACCAGAACCTGTTTGTGAAGTTTTCGTGCTGTTTTTGGGGACACTGCAGTACGTATTAACAGCGAGCTGTTTCTTGTCGGGGGTTTTATACTGCTTCTTGCAACCCAACAAATCCATGTCAATCCGAAAAATGAGTCCAAGATAGTTTAGCAATGAATCGTAGCGTTCGCGGAAAGCCCTTTTTGTAAAGTTGTCGTGCTGTCGCCTCCTTTGCCCGAGAGAAAGTCCTGTCAAAAGGATGTCGAGTATTCATTATTGTGTAGCGGCGACTTTCGTTGTAACTGTTGTTAACGACTCCCCTGCGTACAGGTTCCTGACAACAGCAGCAGTGTGCCTCGTGCACAGAGGTAAATCGGTGTGTACTATGCCCCCGTCATCGAATATGCGTTTCATGACAATCTTGACCCCCCTCCCCCCACGCTGCCCCCACGGTGCCCCCGTGCCCTTTCTTGGCAGAACCCCATGGACCCCCCTTTGGAGCGAATGGACGACTACTTCTGGATGAGGGATGACAAGCGGGAGTCCAAGGTACCACACAGTAAACCCTAGCGCCAAGCCTTCCCTTGCTGTCGTATTGCTGTCGGTCACTGTATCTCAACGGTGACTTCTTTTACCATAGCTCTTGCGGGTTGAGCTGTGGTTTGAAACGAATGCCTGACATTGTGCTTTGATGTTTTGGCGCATGCCTCAGTGAATCTGCGTTAGTGATAACACGCTTTCGGGGTTGGAAGAGCTTGAGGCGGCATACACTGGAGCGATGTGTACCTGGTGGAAGTATCTCGAAGCCGTCTGTCACTGCCGGCACAACAGAGGCCAAACCCGTTCGTTGGCCCTTCTGATAACGGAAGGAATAGAGGGGAGCGTGTGTGAAGAAATGAGCAGGCAGCAGTGCGCTCGCTCGCTTGCTCCATGGCGTGCGGTTGGTTTTTGCCCTACGTACCGAGTTTGCTCGATGCCCTCCCGATGTGCGCTTCTTCCTCTGTCCTTCTTGCCTGTTCGATACTACGATACGAAACGTCAGGAAGTGCTGGGACACATCAAGAAGGAAAACGCCTACACGGCGGAGAAAATGGCACACCTAGAGGGGCTCAGGGAAGACCTGTACAAGGTGCGAACGAACACGATACAACAGCAATGATGTGTACATGGATGAGAGGCGGCGTGCAAATGTCTTGTGTGATTTCCAGCAGCTTCATGAGTTAGAATGTGCCCGAATTCTCTGCAAGGTATGGAATCACCTGTGTAACTCCCTGCAGCTTGACGAGTAAACAATCTCCCCCAACTCTGCAAGCGTCAAGCGGGCATGGGAATGACCCCTCCAAGCTGGAACACAGGGTGTGGCCGTTGTCAGCGATGGTCACCATATATTCATGAGTCGAATACGCAGGTATATCTACCACCCCGCGGACTCTCCCCCGCCCCACCCCGTTCGCTCGCACTTACGGAGCCCCTCCCCACCGACCATTTCTTCTTTTTTGCGACCACCCAGGAATTTTTGGGGCACATGAAGGAAACAGATGCGGAGGTCCCATACCGTCACGGTCCCTTCTTTTACTACTCTCGCAGCGTCAAGGGGAAGCCGTACAGGATCCACTGCCGGAGCAGAGAGCAGGGGGGGGAGGAACAGGTGCGATCCCCGGTTGAGGTGAAGGCCTCCGGCCCCGAAATCCGACGGCAATTTAGGCTTGTGTTGCTTTCTTCGGATGGGAAATGCTGGTGCAGCAGTTGGTGTGCCACGTAGTGGTGTGTCTATTGTACACAAGCCAACACAGCGTCCGTGCGGGCGCCTGGGAGTTCCCCCGCCAAGCGTTCATGCCTCCGCACTTATGGTTTCTAATTTTCCGTGTCGTCGGACTTCGTTGCCGCCTGTTGGCGCCGATTATTTTGCGCCACGCGTATGCATGTGGACGGGTCTATTCTTGGTGGGGTCGAACACGTACTTCCCAATAGCATGACTCGGCAGGGCATATGCATGCTTACCCGAGACCAGAACTCCTGTCCGTCAGCAGATTTGGTGTTGGGGGTTATCTTCGTTGTGCGGGGTAAAGGGGCGATGTCTGGATTGGTCCCCCGTGAGTGTTGACGAGAAATGTTTTGTTGTGCTGGGGAAAGGGGGAGATGTGTGATTGATCCCTCCTGTGAGTTTTGACGAGAAACGATTGGACTTGTGCGGCTAGCTGAACATTTTCGTCGCCTGGAGCGGTTTTCCAACAATTTTTCTTCCCCGTGAGTGTGTGTGCGGCTAGCTGACTTTTTCGTCATTTCTGTTGTTGGCTTGAAGGGCTTGGACGCATGCGCCTAGCCTTACTTTTTCTTCGCTTGTGAAACGTTTTTTGTTTGTCGCAAAGCGCTTGGACGCATGCGGCTAAATACCTGACTTTTCGTCGACTGCAACTTTTTTTTTTTTTATAACAGGTGGTGTTGGACGAGAACGTCGAGGCGGAAGGCGCCGACTACTGCGACATCGCCGCCGTCATCCCTTCCCCTGGCGAGCACGACCTTGCCGCCTACGCCGCGGACATGACCGGTTACGAGGTGCGTGGGTAGAGAAGGGCTGTTGAGAGTTCAGTGACGGGGACGCAGAGGGAACACAGCGTGGGGTGTGTGGTCACACGAACGTGTTTTTTCTTTTTTTTTTGTCACACCAAACCGGACGCAAAGGACCGCGGGAGGGGTGGAGGCAGAAGAAAAACTCTTCAATGTGATCACGAGATGCTCGTGCCCGGCATAACTGCTGTGCGTGAGCGCTGACTCAGAGTGACGAAATGACAATAATGCTGGTGTCTTGTTTGTCTGCGGGCGACACCTTTTGTGCCCGCCGGAGGAATGGTGTGCGTCAAAACGAATATTCCATGCGTGTGTTTGGGTGCCACCTCCACCTTGGTGTCCCGGAAGGGGTGGCGTAAAGGGCTGACTCTCTGGCAAGCCCATTCCAAACCGTTTTTTCAGAAAATAGAGACACAATCAAAGAAAGACCACCCGTTCGAGAAGCCTGAAGCGTTGGAGTTCGTTCTTTTTTTTGTTTGTCTCGCGTTGTTTCCCCGCGTCACGACCGATCGCGCTGATGCTGCTGCGGCAACCTTGCCCACCCCGCCCTCTCAACCACGGCGTAGCGCCCCTTAGCGCCAAGCGTTTACTTCCCGCGTCTTCATGACGGATTCAATTGCTGGTGATCCCTCTCGCCTTTTCCAATGCATGCACCCCGGATTCACGGATCGATGCTCCATCTTTCCTGTTTTTGCATAGACGTACGACGTTCGGTTTCGCGACGTGGCGACGGGGAAGGACCTCGATGACGTCATCACCAAGACATCCGGAGACGTCTGCTGGGGGGCGGACGCTACCACGGTTTTCTACACCACTCAGGCATGTACACCACTCAGGCATGTCGAGAGATTTGCCTGTGGGTCCTCTTCGCGGATGGGTGCAAGCCTCGCGCGCGAAGAATTGTGTTGTTCGTGTATGCGCATAGCGTCCGCACTTGACGGCTTTGAAGTTGTATAGAACTTCGTCCTCCTCCACATTGTATCAGACCGCAGAACGTAGAACGACAAGTAAGAGCGCCACTGGTGACCCCGGTGAAGAACGCCTTCGCTTTTACCTGTGTAGGGACCATGTGTTGCCCACCAAGAGGAAGTACCAGTACTGTAAGAATCCCATCCTCGACCAAAGCTAGAGGTTTCTGAGTGCGGGCGCTGTTTAGTATATTTTGCTTGTCGGGGATCGGGGACGCGCCATGTACGGAAGATCGCTCAAGGCCGTGTTCACTCGCACCACCACATCCAAATAAAGCATGTATGCATGTCATTGTCTGTGCGTGTGATATATGCATGCATTTGTCTCTACGTGTGCTGTTCTAAAGGGGTTTTGTGTTTTTCTTCTGTCTTTCGATTTTTCATGTGTTTCTTTTTGGTCCTTACCTTCCCCCCTCATATACCCGTCTGTCTTCTGTGGCACGCGCAAACGCCTCCGTTTGGTCGTCCAGGATGAGGAGCACCGCCCTCACAAGCTTTGGCTGCACACCCTGGGCACGCCGCAGGCAGAGGTATTTCTACGTTTGCGGGATAACAAACGTCGAGAATTGTTTCTTGGTACATGGAGACTGATAGAAAGGGCATCATGCTTGAGCACACAGCACCCGGCAGGGTTTGATGGGTTTTTTATTTGTTTTTTCTGCATCATGTGCTTGATGAGACGTAGTTGCATCAATCTTAGAGCTCAAGGCTGCTCCTCCGTACGATTCACATGTTTCCCAAGAATAAGAAAGTAGGGCCAAGAAACACAGCTAGCTTGGCGGTGTCTCCCGGAACTGTCAACTCTATGTTGTACCAACCTGTGGCAACGAAGTGAGCCTTGAACCGATGTCCTTTGTCTCGGGGCCATTTCTTTACGTGTTGTTGCCCTGGAAATGCCAATTAATGCCCTCAAGGACGTGCTGCTGTACACGGAAGACGATCAGCTTATGTGGATGGGCATTGGCAAGACCGACAGCAACAGGTGTTTATTATGCGTCACTCCGGTTTCGTGGCTTGTTGTCCCTGTGTTTTTTTTGCTACATGCAAGAGAGGGCCGCTGTCTTGTGACCGGTCTCCGATTCTCCCCTCTGCTGGTCCGTTTGTATGTGATACGTAAGTGTTTCGATTTTGTTTTGTCGGACTTGCTTCGATTTCGGAAGGGAGGAGACGTGAGCTCTGCTTCCAAAAGAAGAGCTACTGCTGAAAAAAGGAGTCGTGCTATGGCACAAATTGCACAAAAACATCATGATCTGCGATTTTTTTATTTGGTTTTTCTGGTGGTATCCTTCTTTCGTTGTGGATTTCCCAAGAGTCTGGTTGGGTTCCTTGCTTGCTGTTGTTGCTTCAAGCGCAGGGTAAGGCCTTCCGACACGCTAGATTTTTTCATTTCGTCCGAAAGGGGGCACAGTCGTATCACACATCACACACGCAACGCAGTCGGTGCACAGCACTGGTACGTGTAGAACAGCCACAAGTCGTAAGAGCAGGGTGGCAAGCGACAGGTTATTGCGTTGCCGGCGCTGATGCAACCTCGGCAACAATATTTGTGTCTAGGGAGGGAGGGTGTACTCATTGGCTTGCATGCCGTAGTCGTTAGACCATTGACCTCGCACGAAAAGGAAGCGACACTCGACGACGCTGCTGTGCCGTGCTGTCCTGACCCGTACCCGGTACGTTTTTGTCTTGCTGTGTCCTTGGTCAAGGTTCTTGACGATGAGGGTCGGAAGCAAGACCACCTCGGAGATTCGCTTCATGGACCTGCAGGTGAACAACCCATGCAATTGTTGTTGTTTCGTGTATTGTTGAGAAGTTGATGTGGTTTTGTTGCTATTGTTGCTGTTGCTGTTGCTGTTGCTTTTGTGTGTTGCTGGGATCGACGGCTTGCGTGGAGCGTTGGCGTGTGTCTCCATGTAGCGCCTGGTTTTTGAGAGGTTTTACCAATTTAACATTCTGGGCAATGCCCATCCTTAAAACATTGCCCCAACCCCCACCCCCACCCCCCCTTCCGGGGACCTTATTTTTTTTTCCGGGCGACGCCGACGTCTTGACATTGGTTCGCCGGGCTAGCGCTGTCTGCTGAGTTCAATGAAACTCACCAACACGCCGGTTAGCGCGGTCGATGCTATTAGTAATAAAATCATGCACGCACGCACGCACACGATCTTATGGCCTTCAGAAGCACTTTCCGTTTTTTTCCAGCGCTCAGCCTGGCGTCTAAGTCTGCGCGCCACGTAGTCGCTGACACTAGCACACACGCGCGCGCGTTTGCCAGGGCGTGCAAGGTGCGGAGGCACACCGCGGCTTGTCGCTCAAGGTCCTGGCGGACAGGATGGACGGCGTGCGGTACGGAGCCGAGGTGGGGATCAAAAAGTAGAAACACAACCACGACAGTGAGAGGCTGGTCATCTTTTGACGCTATGGGTTCAATGTTGCCCTATCCCGGACTTGTTGTCTGCGGAAGAGATGAGCTCGCTGTGTTTTCGCATGGGAAATATATGCGATGGCAACCACAACAATTGTGTTTTGTGTCGCTCTTGCCTCCCCGGCGTCAGCACTGGGGAGAGGACTTTTACATGGTGACGAACAAGGATGGGTGCAAGAACTCCAAGCTCGTCAAGGCACCCATCAGGTTTGTCGTCGTCATCGTCGCTGTCGCCGTTGATCGCAGTGCTGTTGCTGTTGTCGCTTTGCTGTTGATGCTAAGGCTTATGACTTTTGTCCTTGTTGTTGTCGCTGGGCCCCTGACGGTGCTGCTGTCGCGTGCGGGACGCTTGCCCGCTGACGAGCCACCATCACCGGTAGACGGTGATGACTTAAACACCGCCGGTGTGCGAACAACGGGTCTGGCGGACCGTGTTGAGTAGTCTGTCCAAAAAGACGTCACGTGCGCCGGGAGCTCCTCGATTCGACATGAATGATACGATC